TAGGTCCTTGTACCTTCTACTCTAAATCTCTTACTTTCTTCCAAGATGCTTCGCCTCTCCCTTTAGCCATCCTTTGAATGGTCATATCCTCGTTACTTCTTGCTTCACCCTGAAACCTCACACTACTGCTTTGCTTCCTGTATGCATTAAAGGCATCGTTTGCATCTTTCTCTAGCTTGCTAACAGTAGTATGACTCCCTTCAAGAGTCATGAACTTCGCTTTGGCTTACTTGTTCACTCTTGGCACCTAACTCAGCACTTCCTTATCACCCCTGAATTTGAAGTTCTCGTACTATCCATTATGCTACTCTTAGACCCTAGTTGAAATTTCTCGTACGGTTTCCCCGTTCAATAGAGTTTTACCTGAGAGATTGACACATTTCACCAGCATGGGTGGTATTGCTTTCACTTTAGGGTATCCTATCAGATCCCCTAACTTCATATCTCGCTTACTTCTATACCTGTCACTTTTCTTCTTGATGTTACTCGCTAGTTCTAGATGCCTCTTGTTCTCGATGTAGCCATCGAGGTTCTCATATTCTCTTCTCGCTTATGTACCTTGACCTATAAGGTTCTCCCTTCGACTACTCTTGACGACCACGATTCCACCTTACAATTGGCCGAGATTTCTCGATGGACTTCCTATGGATTAACTGTTCTCTACTGGTAATCAACCTAATGCTTTCTTGTTATCCGCTGTACTCCTGCTTTGGCCCGTCCTAGCTATATTCCTTGACGCATACATCGTCAGGTTGATGCCAACCATTTTTTTTTTCTATAACTTCCCACGGTGTCTTCTTGCTTCTTTACCTTTACTACCACCAACTACAACTCTTCAGTTGTTGCTTGTACTATATTTGGTCACCAACCTCTGTTGAGTATCTTCTCGTTGTTTTAGGTCACAACTTTCCAATGGTGGCTTGCCCTTGGTAACCTTTAACATAACTCATTCCATGTCTCTTTTGTTGATCGATCTTGTACATAAACTTAGTCTCTTGGTTAGGATTCTTAGTGGCTTAACTAAGCGTGCCTGTTTCATCCTTAACTAGTTTTCTTCTCTGGAGCCCTCCTACCATGCCGCGCTCACTCAGAGTGGAGCTCCCTGGATAAAGTAACTTCTCTTTTTCCTCCTTCTCGGTAATGCTTTCCCTCATCGTACCTCTTTGTGCAGCTTCTTGACCTCGAGTCACCTGAGACTTGACCCATTGACTTCTTGAAGTCTCGTCAAACTCCCTCTGGCCTTTTTGCTCTTCCTTGGTATTGTTCGCAAACTCTCTTCATTACGACCGTTTAGACTCTTCCTCGAATTCTCCAACCTTCAGTAGAACTTCTAATGAACGTTGTACTTGCTTGTCTATACCCGGTTGATTAAATGATTTACTCCTACGGCTGGTTCTGAGACTCCCACTCTCGGCCCTCTAGTTCCCACTTTAGACTTTCCCAATGGATTCCTTGAAATTCCACGATTTTCTGATTCTCCTTGATCATGATAATTTGCAGGGTCTCTCAACACCTTCTCATACCTTGTCCTCTAACTTGCACTTGACAGGTGTATAGCGTGCCTGATCTAATCTTAACCTCTACATCATTTATCTCGTTGCTGGACTTGTTCATTTTAAAGGCTTGCTATCAGCCTAATTCCCCAGGGTCATGTACCCTCTTCTCTAGTGAGGTAGTTTATCTATAAGGGTCCTTTATCGATATATGTAAATGACCATGCCTCCTCTCCGCCTTGACCTTTTGACTTCTTGAAGTCCTTTCATACTCCCTGTAACCTACTCATTTCCTCCTTTACTTCCTTTATACTACCCTAGCATTTCTTAAAGTCTAAACATTCCTCTGCTCCTTGTCACTATGTTTCCATGGCATTGAGCCATCGACCACAAAACTAGCTGAGGGACTTCCGGGGTACCTCTTCGTTTCTTGACTCATTGTCACCTCGCAACGGCTTAGGGTCAAGGACCCTGAAATCCTCTTTTCCTTGTAGCTACTGACCTCTAGTGACTGTAGCTCTTTCTTTGGAGATTCATAGTTCTCCTATTTGTTTGCTTTTGCTTATTAGATCCTCTCCATGCTGCCTAGTAGTAGAATTCTCGCACTACTCCTTCAACTCCTTCAAAATCCTAGATGTATTCCCTTACGATTGGAACCTCTTCTATTAGAACTTTAGTTATTTACCTTAATACGATTAGAGTAGACTGGAGATTCTATAGACTCTTTAAAGAAGACACTTGACTCGTTTTCCATTCCTTTAAAACATAACCTTTAAAAATCGAGACCGATATTCCAGTATTCCTTGGATACCAAGGAACAGAGGAAGACCGGCTCTGATACCAAAATGAAACACCCTAACCCGGCCGGGTACTACTTTTACTAAGATGCCCTTGATAAATAAAGTACTCAAATCTTAAATTTCAACTGGGAAAAATTTTAATAAATAAAACACTGAAAACACACACTTGTAGTTCAAAGCAAAGCCCTAACATGTGGGCAAATTAAACTCAAACGTTAAAAACTCAATCTGATCTCAAAATAATCTCCAGTCTGTACTCATAATCATAAATTTAAATAACTAATAATCTATGAAGTTGTTGTTACTGAAACCTTTGACTAAGCATCCTCCGTGACGTTTATACTGCTCTCCTCTAGCTGGCTGCCCTCGAACTCGCTGCTCACTAATTGCTCCTCTAGCTCCTCAAATTGGTGAGTGAGATGGGGTCAGTCTACGCCCTTACGCTTTTAACTTTCTAATAAATTTGCACTTCTTCTCAAACACTTAAACTCAAACTGAGGGAAGTTGTTTGTACTTCCATTCTTAAAATTCTTAACTCTTAAAACTATATGGGAGTAACTGTTACTCTCCACTCTTAAAGCTTTAATCTCAACTCAAATACTTGACTGACACTGGGATCCCCCACTAGCTAATCCGGTTGCCAACTCATACGTATGAGAAGCCATTCAGGCTTTCCTTAAACTTAAACTTAGTTAGGGAAGTCGTAACGATTCATCCCCCCTAACATCTTAAACTTATCGTGGTGGCTCTTCACCACGATTCTCAAGGGCATAACTGCTGCCCATCTTAAAAGTCTCAAGAGCATAACTGCTGCTCTATCTCAAAAATCTCAAGAGCATAACTGTTGCTCTATCTGAAAATCTCAAATGGCAACGGACTGGCACTAGCGACTAAAAACACTTAAAACGGCTTCACCTTCGTGAAGGTGAGTTATTTCTTAAAAATAACTTGTTTCTTATTCTTTAATAATAACTTATACTCGTAAAAAATTCCAAATTAATTAATAAACATTCACTTCAAGCATAGCCCAAAACAAAATAGCCTCAAACCATAACTCAAGCAAAGCACAAATAATTAATCATACGCATAACCAAGCAACGATGACCAATTCGCTAAAATACTTAAAAGAATACGTAAGGCGTAGAATTTACCCCCTTTACACTTGAATCAATCACCAACCAATTCCAGGGCCGATCACCTTAGCTTCACCCCTCCTATGTTGATGCGTGTTTCCAAGCTCCCTCTGCAATTCCAAGAGCTTTAATTTACTCATTAAGCAAACCTCCTCCCATGTGCATACAATTACGTGACCTTCCATACTACCGCCCACGTTGATTCCCTTCCAAGAGAAAAGGAAAAGGCTTCCCTCATTCCAGTCCGTCCTCTCTACTCCTTTCGAGTCAACCAAGCCGCCCTTTGTATATTTCAGCCGCAATTTTCATCTACAATCGGCTTTCCATTCGCAGTTGTTTGTGCCTTGCAGCGACTAGATTTTCTACATCAAGTAGCTTGTCTCGATCTAGAATTTTTAGGGCTTCTTCCTGCTCCCATCTCGGCTGCCTTTGTGAAATACGATGACTCCAGAACCCAACGGCGCCAGCGGCAGTGGGACCACCAGGGAGGAGGCGACAGTGAAGAGAGGAAAGGAATTGAGCGGCCATTGTAGCTTTAGGTTTAGTTTAGGGTTTCTATATATAGTGAATGGGGACGGGTTTTTTTGGCAGGGGGGATATTGTTGGTCGGTGGAACCTGGATGGAGCGGTCCTTTTTGGGGCCCGAGTGAACCGATTACTCTCCTTTTTTTATAAAAAAAATAATATTATTAAAATAATAATAATAATATTTATTATTATTATTACTACTACTACGCGATTGCAATCCTTAGTACGTAACCGTTAATCCAATCGTTCACGTACCACGGTCGAACTTGAACCCAAAGGTCGGTGTGTAACAACTTGAAACTATGCTTGCTATCTATTTTAGAAAATTTCAAACCTAGCATTCAAACACAACAAGAAGTTTCAAACAACCATGACATATTCTTGAACTGGGATCTACAATCGAATTTCATAAATCAAAATGGTTATGTATGAGCCTTGGCTTAATTTTCTCATCAAAATGCATTTCAAGTGGTCTGGATAGAATTTCACAAGGTTCATATCTCCCAAGATTTATACAAAATTGAAAAGCTATTATGGAAACAGAAACAGTGGGTTTTAAACGGCTAGGAGAAGAAACTATCATAGTTTAAGACTATTATCTAATCATAAATATCATTTCACGATAGCAAACACAAACTTTTCATTTACAAAGCAATACTCAAACCGAGCATCCTAGTTTTCGAGGGACATAAATCTTCTCTGAAATTGACTAACGACTTCGTGTTCAGAAAATTGACTAGAAGCATAACTGAGCCCATTGTCATCCACCATAAAAACAGAGAATGGTTGGCCTTTGAGCAGGTAAGCATGAAGAAATCATTCAGTTTAATTTGTAATTGTGAAAAGTATACTTCTCATGATTTATCTCCCTTGATTTGAAACCAGTAATATGATTAAATTATGCCTTAAGTTTCAGAGTTCACAATTTCTTTTATGTTGTACTCGCTACAATGTTACAGTAGACATTCCTTACAAAGTCTCTTAAATCTTATGCATTTTTCAATAATCATCTCTTAAATTGGAACCATGTGGCCAGGAAACTTTGCGTTATTCCAATGTTGGTATTTTCAAATCCCCACAACTAACACACAGTAAAAATCTACAAAAGACAAACGCATTGAGAAATTGAGGAGCAAAGCTAACCTTTTGGGATGGCAGAAGAGGCAAGGAGATACTTGAGAGAATCTTGTCTCAAACGTGAAGGTTAGACCCCTGATTTCTGTATGCTATCCCTTCCGCTTCTATCTTAAGTTTCTTTCTACTTCCGCCACAAAAAAGAAGGGGGGTTTTAGGGCTTCCCTTCTTGTTTACGTTCTACTTCAATTCAGCTTCCCCCATTAATATGGAACAAACCATCCTCTGCTTAGTTTTGTTTCGATTCCTTTCCAGATGGGGAGTGGAGAGGGAATAACACGGGGCCATAATAGAGAATCAAAGACGCACATTATCCAAGAATTTCATAACAAAGCATAACAGTTTGAGAACTTAAACATATGTACATAGAACAGATCCATAATTTTTTTTTGGAAATCCTTAGAGTTGATTGGACACGGCTATGAATATCTCACCGTCAGGCGGAAGGAGGAGTAGAGTGGTGGGGGAAGATGGAGGTCTTTGCTTCGGATTGGGGTGGACTTTGAGCTCCCTTTTGAACTCGCGTCCATTGTTGCCGCAGTGTGTTAATGTATGCTTTTGTTGATGAAGGAGAAAAGGATCAAGTGGAGTGAAAGGGGTTCTGCAGATCGAGTTTCGTTGATGGTGCCATGGTCGATGGAACCAACAGGAGATAGATATGAATTGAAGAACTTCTGAGGAGGGTGAAAACGCTCGGACAGAGTGAATGAGCTAGTGATGGTGAGAGATGGAAGAAGATATTTTTATCATCCTAAAAACCCTGGAAGTTTGGGCTGCGGGTTGGGGATAATCCCCAAACCGCACCAATTCGCACCTATTGTGGGTAGTGGGTTGGGTGTGGGTAGTAAAATAACGATTTTTGTGGTTAGTGGTTATCCACTACCCACCGCGGTTAACCCACAAAATCCATAATAACCACACTAATTATATTTAGTTAGTGAATTAACTTTATAATATAATAGTATGTGAAAAGTGGGAGGATAAAAATTAAAGTAGCCACCAAATAAAAAAGACACCAAATCAGTTTTATGTAAAAAAAATTAATTTGTAAAACACTATAATCGATAGAGTGGAGAATAATCAATTCATTAAAACTGAACACCTTTTGTAACTTTTATCAGTATGTTTTTGCTTTGTGTGAAAAAAATACAAGGTCATATTTAATTGTCATATTTCACCCCTAGTCGGGGAAATATGAAATCACAGCTCTCTGACACAAAAGTTGAATACCAAACTCAAAAAGAAAAAATCTCCACGTTGAGTAAGATCGATGTACAAAATTGTATCTCCACGAACAACACAACTGTATATCACTATAGTCTAGTTACGAACAATAAATACGTTAGTGGCGACTAGAACTCTATGCTTGCAAAGATGGATTTTTGCGGGTAATCACACCCAACCCGCATAAACTCACAGTGGGTAGTGGTTACCCACTAACCACTGTGGTGCGGGTTATGGGTAGCATTATTGTAAATTTGTGGGTGTGGGTACCCGCAAAATGTTGGGCGGGTAACCACACCCACCGCAATTTCCACCCCTATTAAAAACTAGTGTAAGCAGCCTCACATAGCCGTATAGGGACTTGGGAGCCTAAAAATAAAGTAAAAAAACTAATTAACACGGTACCTTTTTAGTTTGGTACTAATGAAATAAATTATCGCTATATTAGCCCCACAACAACCACGGTTTGCAAAAACCATGGTAAATAAGTACCTATGGGTTTAGGTTTGGCAAAACCCGACCCATTGTTATCCTTATCTTCTATTTGCCTCCTTTATTATGTTCTTGTTTCCAGCTTCCTCTTTATCATCTATCTTACTTTCTTTGGGTAATATAATATTGTTAGGTCATGGTATCCTACTACCTCCTTCTTCCTAAAATTCTTCAAAATTGTCCAACCAACAGTTAACATATCCAAAATATAAATAAATTTTTACTCATTGTCCAAGCTCCCATCATAGTCAGAACACAAACCCTGAATAAGTGTCTAGTTCGTTCTCTCTGACTGCCTATCGGTATGGGGGTGGTATGAAGACGAGAAATGCACCTTGGTGCAGATAGCCTTCTGAAGAGTGACCCGGAATCGTGATGTGAAGTTAGGATCATGATCAGTACGAAGCTAAGTGGGACACCATGCAGCCTGACAATCTCTCTCACAAATAATCGGGCTATCTCCTCCATTACTCATTTGAATATGATAGGTTTGAAATGAGCTGCCTTTGAGAACCGATCCCCAATCACCCAAACACCATAATTTCCTCTCAGGTTCTCGGTAAGCCATACAGAAAATCCCTAGCGAGCTTCTCCCATGTCCACTGTTAAATCTCTAGTGGTAAATACTCGATGACTAGGACTTGATGCTCAGCCATAATGATCAGGTGCTCCAGGCACTGATAGACATGTGCCACCACTTCCTTCTTCAAACCTGGTAAATCATCTTCCCTCGACCTATTTTACGCTAGGTTGTGCTATTTTTGTTACATTTCAGGTTCTAGCACGCGTGGGAAGGGTGAGGATGAGTTTTGGGACGATTGGGGGTCGAAAAGCGCCAAAAAATAAAGAATGTTCGGAAGTCATGGTTTGGATGTGAGTGTCACGGCCACGAGGCCATGACAATTGCAAGGCAAGTTTGAATTTTGCCGAGGAACAGAAGGTTTTGCACGCCTCGTGGGCATAAAAGTTGCCACGGTCACTAGACCGTGACAATTACCCACAGACCGTGATGTCGGACAGAAACGGTGGTAGCTTCTTGTGTTTTGGACTATGTCAAGGCCGGAGGTCCAATGTCACGACCTTTACATTCAGCCCGTGATTTTGACTATTGGGATGTATAAATAGAAGGTAGTTGGGAGAGAGAAAAGGAGGAGTTGGGGGGCTTGTCTGGGTTTCAAAATTTCTAGGTTCCTTTCTAGGGTTCCAGCTCAAAAATCCCAAAGGAGGGATCCTAGTGAGAAAAATATATTGTTCAGAAATTAGGGTGAGAAACTGAAGAACAAAAGAAGAAGAGGTCGAGGGGATTTCTCTTTTCTTGAGGAGTGAAGACTTTCATCTGTCAATGGTGCAACAAGGAAGGAAGACAAGTATCATTCCATGGTTCTTCCTCTCATCTTGGTTATATTCCCTTGCCTAGCTATGGAGTAGTTCTCCTTGTCAGTTGGGTGTTGATGTAGGCTCCTAGATGTGTGTTAGGATGTAAGAACATGATTCTATTTGTGTTGATTGTGTGTTTTATATAATATTGAGGTATTAATCATGAATGATTGAGTGTTTCTTGCATTATCTCATTATTGGGTAAATTTGACCTAGAAGGTGGAAATCCCCCTTTGGCAAATAGGGAGGTTCACCTCCTAGCCACTTGAGTAACCCCTTCTAGGTCAATCTAAGACAAAACCTCAAGTATCGGATTAGCACCATGATTCTATCATGATTGGTCGCTCTTCGCCGTCCGGATTAACTTTCGAGAGATTGGGTTTTCCCATCCTTGGTTGATTGACTAAGGGAGCTAGATTTTTTAGCTTTTAGCAGCAATCCTTAGCCGAATGGCTAAGAGAGCTAGGCTACCTAGCTTATAGTTTCAATCCTTAATTGATCGACTAAGAAATTTAGGGTTTCCTAGATAGTTTCACCGCCTCACGGTATATGAACACATTCTTCACACTAGAATTTCGTTCATTGCTTCTTAACACGAGACTAGGGGGAGCAATACCCGGGTGAATTCCTATCAAGTAGAATTCTCCACAATTTTCTTTGTTTGCTTGTTTACTTTCTAGCCTTCGTGATTATCCACATGCCTCTAAGTACGCCGCCCCCAAACCCATGTAAGTTACCTCGATCTAGGGTTTAAGAACATAGCTCCTTTCAATGGGTACTACCCACCGTCCACACCGAGGTTTCATCCCTGGTTACATATAGGAATGCATTCTTATGGCAAGGGTACGGTCTCCTCGTCCACCACAACATCCTATTCATTCATCTCACCCTAATCTGCCAGATGGCGCATGCCCGTCGAACCCTGAAACTCCATACTTAACATACAAACTCAAGTAGGCCAGTATAGAAGATTAGGGGGACTTACCCAAGCACAATTAAAGCTAGAGAAGCATTAAAATATACTAAATAAACACATTCATATAAAACGCATACATACACAACCTATAAACTAGGGTTTATCTCCCCTAAACAATCATTAGAGATTCAAGTAATATATAAAGAAATAAAACACAAACTAGAAGTGAGTAAGTGATGGAATCAATCTTCTTCTCCTTGCTTGCACCTTCTTCTTGCTTCTTGGGTGGATTGGATCTTAGATGAGGCTCTCCCAATGTGTTTCCCTCTCTAAAACACTTAAAAACCCTATCGTTCTAGGATGGCTCTCCTTTGTCAAGTGGTGAAAAGGGAGTATTTATAGGCAATGTAGTCAAAAGCGAGATTCTACGTAGAAACGTTTTGGTGATCTAGAAGCGTAAAATCGTAAGTTTTTAAGTTTTAAAGCAGAGTTTTAAACTACATAAGTTATAAAAACTGAGATTTTGTGTAGAAGCGTTTTAGTGACCTAGAAACGTAAAATCGTAAGTTTTTAAGTTTTAGTGCGCGATTTTGACTACATTGTTTATAGGCATGTAGTAGTGGTCACGGCCTCGAGGGCATTACCCGATGGTCATGGTCGTTTAATCGTTGGTTCGCGGTCTGGGCTTTCAGTTCCCGATCGTGAACTAAGATCGTGATCTGAGCCCGATCTGGATATATAAAGGAGGTTGAGCTAAAGGATAAAGGGGAGAGACATAGTGTGAGAAACTTCTTCTTCTTCCGATTTCTTGAATGAGAAAGTGACGAACCAAAGAAGAGGAGAAGCTAAAGTTTCATCTTCAAGCAAGGAATGGGGAATTCCTCCCCCAAAGGAGGATCTCTTCAACACAAGGAGCAAGGCTAGCATCTCTTTGATGGTTTCCCTTCTTCTCTCTTGTGTTTTCCCTTCTCATAGCATGGAGTAGTCCCTTCTTTCACTTTGGTATTTGTAAACCCTAGCTACAATTATGTGAATGCTTGTATGGAATGAAAGATTTGTGTGCGGTTGTGTTTAATGTGAATGTGGAGGTATTATTCATGAATGATTGTGTTGGGTGAAAGCCTATCAATCTAATTGCCATTCTAACCTAGGTAGAGAAAAAAACCCCACTTCCTTTCTTTGAAAGAGGCTTGAATGCTGGATTTTCTTAGGCAATTCATTGTCTCCTAGTTAGGTCATGCAGGGCAAACCTCCTATTCCGTATTAGCACCTAGGGTTTGGTTGTGTGTGGTCGTCCGAACTCCGATTTGAGGGTGAAGTCCAACCAATCCTTAGTCAATAGGTCGAGAGAGTCACATTGGTGGCTTGGATCGTATCCCCTTTCCTCGACCTAGAGACTAAGAGAGTGGCTTTGGCTACTTGTTAGACTTCCCTACGGTTTACCACTCCCTCACCACACACGTCCATTCAATCCATCCAGTCGTAATTGCTAGCTAGGGGAAACAATACCCGGGTGAAGCCTTCTCAATTAGTGTCAAATCCATTTATCTTTGCAAGCGCTTTTAAATTTATATTGTTGTTTTCACCAAAAACCAACCGCTAGTTAATGTTATAAACAATCAAAGTAGGGTACATGAACTGGCCCGGGTCGATATTTAAACATACTTGCCTTGTACTGCACCCGACTAAGGTTTATACTTGGGCCTTAATTGGGAGTTTTAAAGTGGTGCATTCGGGTTGAGTCACTTGGACCTTCTCCTTGCTCCTTGGGTGGATTGGATCTTCAGTTAAGCTCTCCCAAGGTGTTTCCCACTCTAAAAATAACCCAAAACCCTATTTTCTCACTCTAGGGCGGCTCTCCATTGTAAAGTGCCCAAGAGGGGTATTTATAGAGAGCTGATGGAGGTCAAGTCCTCCAGGGCATGACTCGATGGTCACGGATGTGACCTGTCCATGAACAGACTGGAAAGTATTAAAATTGCCCAAAACGATGATTTTTGTCCCATCTTTAAGTTTCGAGATCGCGACCTCCTTCATGAAATCATGGTCGCGATCTTTGTGTCCCAGCGGCGATCTTTTTTGTGGCCAAAATGCACCATGTCCACGATCTGGGTGAGGAAAATCTTTGCTTCCTTCTTGATCCCCTATTGAGGTTTGTGGCCACTAATCGCGGCCAAGACCATCAAGCCGCGACCATCGTGACGGCCTGGTCAATGGCAGTGACCTGTGGTCGTGACTAGTGCTTTTTCTCCCCTTCTTCTCCTATGCTTCCCAATCGTACTCGGATGAACTCCAATCGATTCCCGATCAATCCCAAATGAATATAAGACCCAGAGTTTCATCACAAAAACTTGGAAAAGCATAAAATAAGACAATGTGGGGTCGACTCCCCTATGAAAACCTTCATATCAAGAATACTATGCAAAAACAAATGTTTTGCAAATAGGAATGAAAATGGGCATAAATAACTTGATATGTGGCCTACACACGGTGATTTAACATGTAAATGTCTTAAGAATAAGGTCAAAACAACGCCTATTTTAGGTGTTAACAAGCTTCTCCAGTATTGCAAAGCCCATGGCACAGCTATTGTGGAAAGGGGAGGCATTTGTTTGGGACGAGAATAGGGTTGGAAGTTTGGTACCGGTATTGGGGATATACCGAATATCTTACCGAATTTGTCTATATTTGGTATTACCGAATACATGTATTATTTCTTGGGATTGGGAGTGGGATTGATATATAGCAAAATACCGAACAATACCGAAATATAAGCTAGTGTGTATTTTATCCTCTCAACTAGACTCCCTCATTTGCTACTACATGACCCTCAACCACCAAAAGTTTCATTTAATTATACATAGATCATTTCATCTTTGTTTCACAACTCAAAAGTCCCCATCCTACTCAATTTTGACTTTCAATTTAAGTCAATCTCATCTCTCACCTAATAACTTGTTATTTTCATAACACCAAAAAGCAAACACTAGTATTAGTAGTCTCTTAGCCTTCAATTCGTCAAACTAAAGATTACCAATGACAAGAACTTGAGATGTCACCTCTCTTTCATTCTCCTAGCTCTAGACAAACTCAAGACTATTTGCTTAGTCTCTTTGCCCTAAATTAAACAATCAAATCTACTTTATATATTTAATTATTTATTTCAAATGTAATTAATTTCGTATTTGTTAATGCCGATTGGGATACCGAACTACCGATTGGGACACCAGAATATTTAGGGATTGAGATACCGAAATTATTTAGGGATTGAGATTGGGATTGACTTTTGGGTATAATTCGGTATTTGGTATTGGTATACCAATACCGTACCAATTTCCACTCCTTGATGAGAAGTGTCAAATGGCGTTTGAGTTGCTGAAGTAAAAGCTAACCTCTGCACCAGTGTTAGTACTACCTTCCAGCGGTGGGGAGTATTCAATCTATAATGATGCTTCCTACCAAGGCTTGGGCTATGTACTGATGCAGAACAGGAAGGTGATCGCCTATGCTTCAAGGCAGCTATGACCTCATGAGGTGAACTATCCCACCCATGACCTGGACTTGGCAGCAGTAGTATTCTCCTTGAAGCTATGGAGGCATTACCTCTATGGTTAGACTTTCACGGATCACAAGAGTCTTCATCACCTGACTTATCAGAAGGAGCTAAACATGATGCAGAAGAGGTGGTTGGAACTCCTGAGCAATTATGATTGTACCATCAACTACCATCAGGGAAGGCAAATGTGGTAGCTGATGCCCTGAGCAGGAAGAGGGAGAGTACTCTCTCGGAGTTGGTCTCTTTGAGGGACATGAATGTGGAGTTGGAGATAGACGAGGGAGAGTTATCCCTATCTTACAGGAACGAATAAAGGAAAAGCAAAGTGAGGATATGGAGCTTGAGAAGTACCGAAAGCATGTCCTAGAAGGGAAGGACACCGGGTTTGAACTAGTGGATGGAGTGTTGATGTTCCAAGGGAGGTTGTGTGTACCTGATGTAGACAAGTTGTGGAAGGACATACTGGATGAGGCTCATTCTGCACCCTATGTGATGTATCCTGGGGCTACCAAGATGTATTGTATCTTCAATGAGCATTTATGGTGGCTAGGTTTGAAGAAGGAAGTGGCGACACATGTCTATCAGTGCTTGGAGTGCCAGATGATTAAGGCTAAGCATCAAGCACCAGTCATCGAGCATTTACAACTATAGATTCCACAATGTACATGGTACAAGGTCACTATCGATTTTGTATATCGCTTGTTGAGTACCCTTAGAGGGTATGACGGAGTTTGGTGATTGTAGATCGGTTGTCGAAGGTGGTTCATTTCATACCTATCCAATTCAAACCATGAATGGAAGAGCTAGCTCGATTATATTTAAGGGAGATTGTCAGGCTGCACGGAGTGCCACTTAGTATCGTTTCTTATCGTGATCCCAGCTTAACGTCCCGATTCTTGGTCAGTTTACAGAAGGCTATGGGAACCAAGGTGCATTTCTCTACTGCATATCACCCCTAGACCAATGGGCTGTCAGAGAGAACGATCCAGAAACTTGAGGACTTATTAAGACCTTGTGTACTAACTATGAAGGGAGCCTGGGATGAGCATTTACCTCTACTGGAGTTTGCTTACAATAATCAATATCATAGCTCGATACAAATAGCTCCATATGAAGTGTTATAAGGGAAGAAGTGTCACACGCCATTATATTGGGATGCTGAGGGAGTTAAAGAGCTAGAGGGACCAGAGATGATGTAAAAAACAGTGGAGAAGGTAGAAGAAATTCGAAAGAATTTGAAGGCAGCTCAGGACTGATAGAAGAATAATGTCGAGAGGATAGGAGTTCTTCGCCAGCATGAAATTGGTGAGAGTTTTTTTGAGGGTGTCTCCTTGGAAGGGAGTGATGAGGTTTGGTAAGAAGGGAAAGCTTAGCCCTAGGTACATTGGGGCATACAAGCTGTTGGAGCGTGTTGGACCCTTAGCCGTCCTAGCCTATCTAGGATTCACGACGCCTTCCACGTCAGCATGCTAAGGGCGTATGGGTCCAACCACGATCATGTAATCAGGCACGAGGATATCCAGTTGGAGGATGACTTGACCTAAATGGAAGTTGCAGTTCAGATTGTGGATAGGCATGAGAAGGAGCTCAAAAGGAAGAAGATAGCCATGTTGAAGGTGATTTGGAGAAACCAAGGCAACGAAGCTACCACTTAGGACACAGAGAGTCGCATGAGAGAGAAGTACCCTGAGTTATTTGAGTAAAGGACCGATGTATTACTAATAGTGAAATGACTATGTCTTCACTTTGTTTCTTCTGCTATCAATTTCAAGGTCAAAATTTTATTAAGGCGGAGGGAAATTTAATATCCTAGCTTGAGAAATTTCAATCAAACGCCATAAGTTTGAGTTCAATTTCAGGGATGAAAGTTTTCTAACATACTGTTTGGTATAAATGAATTCCAAAAGGTTTGAGAAATTCATTTTGAAATGAAACATTTTGATGTTTGGTATTTAAAAGAATTCATTTCCAATTCTAAATTATGAGTTCTATGGAATTGGTACTAGTTATAGCAATTCCGAAGAATTGAGATAGAATTTCAAAATGAATTCCATAACTATTTACTAATTATAATAGAATGCCATAATTATCCTCTTTATTAACCAAATTACTTTTATATATATATATATATATATATATATATATATATATATATATATATAGCATACCAAACACAGGAATTCATTCGAAAATGAATTTTACACGATCAATTCATTTTATTTCTAAAGATTTGAATATGACATACCAAACACAAGATTTCATTTGACAATGAATTCTACACGATAATTCATTTTACAATGAAATGAATTCTTGATTCATTTGGTACCAAACGGTCTGTAAGAGTGGAGGAAATATAACACCTGGATATTAGAATTTAGGTTCGACGATAATAAATAAACGGTTGGATTGACGGTTACGTTCGAATGGTTGAAACCGTGAATTAGTAATAATAATAACTATTATTATTACTGAATTCTTATTATTAAATAAACAATTTAATCAAAAAATTATTATTATTAAATTAAAAGGGAAAAAATAACCAAATGTAGGCAAAAAATCAATGCACCGTCTTAAGTTTATAATTTACGATTAGATAATTAGGACCTAGGGTTCACTCATTAAGGGTTAGGGTATAGTATCATACCCAAAAATCCTGCTAATTCGAGGTCTAGATAGCATTTCCATACTCAAGGTATGCAGTACCCCGGATTTCACCCAGAGTACCGTAGAAGGCATCATATGGGTATATATATATGTGGAGTTCTACGGTACCCAGGGTGAAATCCGGGGTACTGCATACCTTGAGTAAGAAAACACTATCCAGAACTTGAATTGACTGATCTTTCAGACATGATACTATACTCTAGCCCTTAAAGATCAACATCTAGGTCTTAATTATCTAAATCTTATACCCCAAGATCAATTTAATTAGAAACAATAATCGATGGTTATGATTCGTCCAAATATAGGCAAAAAATCAATGCACCATCTCAGAGTTTATAGTTTATGATTTAGATAATTAGGACCTAGGGTTCACTCATTAAGGATTAGGGTATAGTATCATGCCCAAAAATCCTGCTAATTCGAGGTCTAGATAGCGTTTTCATACTCAAGGTATGCGGTACCCCGGATTTCACTCGGGCTACCGTAGAAGGCACCATATATATATATGGTTCAATATTGCTACTTTGGTGCACTTGCTTTTTTGTAAAAGCAGTCAAATTACATCAAATTTTGAATTTTAATTTGTAGTATTAGTCTACTATGATGATATAACATCGAATCAAAAAACTAATCAATCTATTAACCTAACCCCTTAACCTTCAATTTTCAATCCCAAACCAAAATCCCAAATTGTAAACCTAAACCCTTACCATAAATCCCTAAATCCTAAATCATTCAAATTAAAGTAAATCTTTAATGAGTTTTTTTTGCAAATTTATGTGTTTCTTGTTCTTGATATCATAAGCGACGATTGATACCTTTTTTATATGAATCACATGCTCGGAATGACGATAATTAGCGAGTGGAGAGTGCACCCAAAAAAGTGGGTGCACTGAATACGCCATTATATATATGGGGAGTTCTACGTTATCAAGGCTAGCGTACGTCAGGCGTACGCTGTACGCCTGTGCTCACACTTGGTTTTTGCACTTCAATATATTTTGTTGAATTCAAACCGTCGGTTATTATTTTTTAGATTAAATGAATTTTGTGACTTGGGTTAGAGAATTAGAGACTAGGGTTCACCCATTAGAGGTTAGGGTATAGTATCATGCCCCAAATTTGAGTTAATTCGCGCTTTAAATAGTAAAACTCGACGGACGTACAATGTACGCTAGCTTGAACCATATATATATATATATACCACAAGATCAAATTAATTAGAAACAATAATCGATGGTTATGATTCGTCCAAATATAGGCAAAAAAATCAATGCACCATCTTAGTGTGTATAGTTTATGATTTAGATAATTGGGACCTAGGGTTCACACTTCACTCATTAAGGGTTAGGGTATAGTATCATGCCCAAAAATTGTGCTAATTTGAGGTTTAGATAGCGTTTTCATACTCAAGATATGCGGTACGCCGGATTTCACCCGGGGTACCGTAGAAGGCACCATATGCATAATATGTATGTTTAGCCGTTACACTGCTTGAATTCAAGCTACGTATTTTAGTTGAGTTTTACTGTTTAGATCACGATTTAACCAAAGTTTCAGACATGCTACTATATCTTAACATTTAATCTAAAAAAAATAATATATGATGGGTATTTTTGTTTAGTTTTACTATTTAACAAGCCGGCTTGAATTTTTGTTTAGTTTTACTATGTAAAAAAATATTCAAGATTTAACCGAAGTTTGAGATATGCTACTATACCTTAACATTTAATCTAAAAAAAATATTTGATGGATCTTATTCAGTGAAATAACATATAAACCAAAAACAAATCCTTCTGAATCTACTTTCCTTTAACTTAACCCCTTAAACTTAGTGGGAAGTTTCCTCCTTAAAACTTAATCCCACAATACTTTGAGAATGACCATTTACCTTTTTCATAAGACATGCTAACTACCTTTTACTATCATTTTCTGCAGATTAAACTGGTGGACAAGCAGGCGCGCTAGAGAGGATTAATTGGGAAGCAATGATATCAAACAAAAAAATGTTGAGAAGCTTCAGGAAGAACTGGATTCAGTTCAAGGAAACATCTCATCATTGATGCTGTTATTTGAAGGCTTGACAAAGTGTGATATATATGTCAAGACCTTGTGAAGATTATGACATCAAACCACACTATTTAGACTATGATCCTGACATTGTAAGGGATCAACTTCATCTACTATTAAGTGATTAGACTGTTTCTCCCTCTGTTGAGTCTTTATTTTCTCATATATGAACTTTTCTTAACTTAATCTCGTGCAGGACGATTTGGAGGATACAGAGATTAGGGAAATGGAAGAGGCAGGTCTAAGTTACATTGCTGCTGTTGCTGCAGTGAAAGAAAAGCATGATGTGGAATCCATTGTTGCAGCTGCAACACCTTCAGTTTCTACTCTGTAAGCCTAGTGCTAGAAATCCATGTAAGAAACCAACCACTGATTCTTCTTCAAACATAGTACATGTGCGCTAGGTCTTCTTGTTCGGATGTAACTAACTGGCGAGTGGTTGGCTATTTCGGATGCTATCGAGGTTTCATTCTAATAATTTGGGGGTGTTTTAGAAAAGTAGAGTGTGATTAGTCTGGAAAGAAGTTCTCGTGTCGATGATCTGCTTGATCTGGAAACTTTGTAAATAGGTTGAGCTTACCAAGTATTAAACAGATATATACAGAGGGAGTAAATTGTGATTGATGTATTCCGAGTTCGCGTTGGAAGGAGGATTGCGATAGGTGATATGTAGAAGAAGAATGTGAAAACAAAAAGGGGAAGAGAAAGAAAAGAAATGAGTGGATGGAGTTGGCTGGAAATGGACAGCACTGGAAACGAGCACAATTGATCCTATTCCTGTGCGTCCGCAGATGTTGGGGGTTTGGGGCTCCCTACCATCTCTTCCCACTACAATCTGGGTTAAGCAAGCAAGGTTACTGAAAGAGAAGAGAAAAGAATGAGATTATATGTGAGTTGTGGACGAGAGAGAGAGAGAGAGAGCCGTTGTGCTGCTGCTTTTACTTACACAGGGAAGGAAAAGGAGGCAGAGCTGGAGGAATGCGAATTGTCTGTGCTGCTACTGCTACTCGATTCGGTGCCGCCTGGAGCTGTAAGGAGAGGGAATGAATGAAACTAATCAGGCAAGAAGAGCCATTAGCCAACAATAAACAAAACCCTGTAATCGCTTGGTAAGAACTAAGAACTAACAACTGTGCTCTGCAACTAAATAGTTCCCGCTGTTTGGGAAAGAAATTGCTCCAACACTAGAATAGTTTCCAGGTCTTTTCTTTTTTAAAATAAAGCCTAGTTTGGTGTAGCCTACGTTTGTTGTGCATGCTATGCTAATTGCTATGTTACCATCAACATTAACCATTCTTATAAGAACCGAATCAGACAGGTGGGCTATTAAAACCACCAAACCAGTTATGATAGCGGTCTGGTTCATTGCTAGGATTGTTATTGATGGACCAAACGGTTTTCAAGGTTCAACTTAAAACCAGATGAACCGCCAAGGTTTAACTAGTTCACTGGCTCACTATTTTAACCGCGAATTAAAAAAAAATACTTCAACATAAACTAAGACCATCAAAGCATAATTAATAATTTATTTCTATTTCCTTTTCTCATTTTCCAACCTCGTTGTCGACTTAACGTGGTTCACTACCGACTGGCACCGTAATTTTTAAAATGAATTTAAAAATTTATGTTTTTTATGAGACCGTTTGAATGATTTGTTGGATATTTTGGTGAAGATATGAATTTGAAATTACTTATGATCCAAGATAACTTCGTTTTTAAATTAGTGTATTATAAAGTCTTGTACGTTATAACTTATATGATAACTGTTCTATTAATCTTTAACCAAAGTTTTTGTAACGGTGAACCGCTGAACACTTAACCAATCTCTTATTCGGTTAAGTATCTAATCCAGTTCTGAAAACATATACATTAACAAATATTTTATTCAAACAACAGATGATAATGTGTCGTGTGCATGCAGTGCACCCAAAACATGCCTCCAAAGCAGAAGACGATGTATATAATCTTCCTCCTTAAACATCATCATCATCCGAGCATCACCACCTCCTCGTCCTCTCCTTAGCCCCTAGTCCACGTTTCCTCTCCTTTCTCCCGAGATTTCAAACCAGAGAAGACTATGCCACTACTGTTGTTATTATCATTATTATTATTAATTATTCCACTATGAAAAGATAAGAATGGAATTTCTAATTAATTATTAAGTATTTTTTCATGTACAGAAATATTATGGGGATAGTTAGGATTAATCATCTTAATAGAACGTGTTTTTAATTATGTGAGTAATTATTTTTCTAATTAAAACGTGACTTATTTTCAAGGAAATAGGAAATATTCTGCGTTTTCTGCTCCTATAAATAGCAGACCTCCAGATCCCCTAAAGTCTAAACACGCCTTCAAGGAGCAGAAACAATAGAGAGAGTGAGTTTAGAGAGCTTCAATTTTCACACAGAACTGACGAGCAACAAATCAGAGTGACTATTTTATTCTAGAGGAAACCAGGCTGATAGTTTGTTATGCGCATAATGTGGCATAAAGAGAGCGACCTAAAATCACGAATCATCCAAATCGGTAATCCTATTTTTTTTTTGTTCGACTTCTAACAATTTTAAGACGTTCGGTTGTTGTTAGGGTTGACAACAAAATCCGAACGCACGGGTACCCTACTCGACCCAACCCGGTCAACGTGGGTAAAACCCACGTTGAATGATTGTGGGCCGGGTTCGGGTTTAAATACATTAACTATTTTGCGGGTTTGGTTCAGTTTTATCTATATCCAACTCGTAGCCGTACCCAACCATGACTATCCGTAGCCAGTACCCGCTTGAGCACTTACCCTCCCCTCCCCTCCTAACCCTAATATCATTTTCTAACTAAACCCACATTCTCCTCATCTCCTCAACCCTCGCCTCAAATCTCGTTGTCACCCTCACCCATCTTCGAATCAAGCCAGTAGCCAAGTGACCACTGACCGGCGGAGATGACACTGTTGTTGTCGGCCTGCCGTCTCTGGTCGTGAGTCTCAGCTTTTCACCTCCCTTCGATTCCAAACCTACGGGGCCGTCCTCCATGTCCAACACAACCGCCACCCGCTTTCCTCCCTCACTGACTCTCCCTAGTCCCGCCTACAGCTCTCCCTGCCCTGTGTGCGCCGACGCCCTCCTCAATAAGTAAGTTAGACATTCAATCCTCCGATATGTATGGCTTGTGGCCTGATTGTTCCATGTGAAATAGAAGAATTATAACCCCCTATTTACGACTAAAAAAATCACTTAGTACCACATTGATTATTTTCAAGTAGTGGTAGTGGTTTATAAGGCCAACTTAACGATATTAATTAAATTGGTTTAAGCTGGGCCTAAATGATGAAATTTTGTGCTTCATACAAGGTACCTCAACACATATGCCTTGACCCACAAAACACCGACCTGTCAAGCATGACATCAACAAAGAGGGGTCAAGCGCCAAGCGTCGACACCCTTCGACGTCAACCACCCAATTCTGTATGGTTGAGGCAAAATATGGCTAAGTGTTGAGACCGAACCACAAGGGGGGTCAAACATGACATCATCCAAGGGGGTCAAGGATGATGTCATGCAAGGGGGTCAAACACCTTGTAGTCGTGCATGGTATCCAGTAGACAAGGTCATTAAGTTTCTAAGTGTTAGCCATGTATATCATCACATGGTAGACCACCGTATCAAGACCCTACACACATGATGCTGGCACGCTACGACACAACACCAAATTGAGACCAAGTATAATCGCAGAGTGGAAATGCAGAATAGTGGTTAAGTCTAATTATCGACCCGTGCTCTAGATCTATTGCCTACTAAGTAAACTCCTATTATCTAGCAGGACAAAGAGAGTGAAATGATTTTAGTGCAAAAGAAACAAAAGCAAGTAATGGTCTAGTTCTTTTCAGGTTCAAAAGGTCATCCAGCTATGATTCCCCCTAATGTGTAGCTAGTTCAGGTTATACAGTCCCAAATTACTCAGATTGATAGATAAACCGCGGGAAGTTCTTTACTGGTCTGGACTCTCAACTAAAATTATCCAGACCCTCTTGATTCGAATACCCAACAGACGACTAGCCTCCACCGGCATACACTAACCAAGGTTAAACACGGTAAACATCCACTACTGGCCTTTGTTCCAGTACAGAGCAGTGAATCGACTTCTCGACTAAAGCAGTTGATTCACCACTTGCAATTAAAGGTTTCTCTTTTAACCTATGCAGAGACTATCGTTCTATGTTAAAGTCGGAATTACACAAGTTTGATTAGGAGTTATGCAATTCTGAATAATTCTTCAACTGAATTTATCAAATCAATCATTCATAACATGGGGTTCATACAATCATTGCTAACATACACAACTAGGGTACTTCATACACAGATGAAAGAAACAATTACTCAATAGAAAGATGTGAGAACGTCATGATCAGAGTAGACATCATTAGAATGACAATGGGCAACTGCTCCTGGCGGCTAATCGGTACTTCGAGGTCTTTAGATCGCTCCAGGTTTTCTTTTTCTGCCTTTAGAAGTCCAAAAATCCAGATCGTTTGCAAATTTCCCGAGCAGCCTTTAAATAGGCTAAGAATCCTCGAGCTACGGCCTAAGTTATGGCCGTAACTCTCCTTGACCGCTCATAACTTGATGAAGAACGATGTCATTATTGCAATCCGTAAACCAAGAGTAACGGTTACCTTTGGGGAGTTACGGTCTCGACCGTAACTTGCAGAGGGAGACCGTAACTCCAAAGATGCTTCTGCAACTGATGTCGAGGCTTCCCAGGAGTTACGGCCTTGACCGTAACTTGGAAGGTCAGTGGAACTCTTCGTTCTCCACTTGCAACTTACGATTCCTCTTGGGAAGTTACGGGCCAGACGTAACTTGCAAGGTCTGGCCGTAACTCCCAGGATCGAACTGCCCACTCGCTCTAAAATGTCCTGAAACTTTGCTCCTTCGCGCCAATTCATGTATTAAGTCCCGAAATATCATAAACTAACACGCACAAGCGTAAAACAGACCACGAGGAGAGAAACAAAGCTCAAACGGTCAAGAAATTAAGGGGAAAACATGTTAGAATATGGCGTTTTCAAATTCCCCCACACTTAGCCGTTTGCTTTTCCCGAGCAAACCAAATCAGTCACCAGGTAAACTCAAAACATTTTAGCCATGTAAACCTTGGGGACATATCATACCGGCACAAACACGTGAATCATACTGGCTACCAGACCTCAACACTTGGACAACAGCAACACGGAAAACCACCATAGATGACATTCGAGTGCAACGAAATCGATTAAAGAATGAGTCTCCCTTCTGTTCACCAACCAACATAGACATGACTTAACCACTTATTCAAGACAGTCACCTAATCCATAAAATTCAAGACATCGAAATCAAGACCGAGCAATCTAAGTCCTCACTGGGGTAGAGAATTTAAAGAAAATAGGGAAATTAATCGCTCACTCTCGACCAGTGGGGTCAGGACAATTTGATGCGAAAGATGTGCATGCTCAATCTCTCGATCCTAACATCTCTTCACCATGATGGCAGGCTCTAAATGCTAGAGTTCACATATCGGGTGTCACCACTAACTAATCCAGAGGTCTTAGTCATAGGTTCAGATGACTGGCTAGGATCCTGGACATGGGGAAAAAGCCTTTTAGGTGGTGGAAGAATTCAAAGCACAGGGTTCCGCAGTTCCAAAACTAACGAAGTCACAATCATTCAACCATTTACTTTCTTCTGCCATTCTGCATTAATCCAATTCTTTAGAGTACAAGAGTGCAGGATGTCACAATATTGCTAGTATTCCTAAGACAGATTGCTAAGAAACACTACTTAACGTGCATGATTTAGATTTTTATGGTGGCTCTCTTTTGCTTTCATTTATTTTTCTCTGTTTTTTATTTCTTTTGTTTTTCTTTTCTTTAGAGAACCACCACCTTTACACTCTTTCCAAACAGATGCCCAACATTTAAGAACTACCTCCATTCCTCATTTTGTTTTTAGAAGAACAACAGAGAACATGCAAAAACCACTCTGTGGAACCTCTAAGAGATGCAAAAAGGTGATTTTCATTGAAGATTGAAAGAAAGGAAGTTACACGGCTCAAAGGGGCTGACTAGGGGTATGACACCAGGACAGACAATTTGGTCGTGGGCTAATCCTATGCCTCCATCATCCTAATTAGTGGCAACGTGAATGCTACACATCAAGGAAGAGGGATCTATCGCACAAGAAAGAAACGAGTAGGCTCAAATC